TGACAGTACTAACAGACAGCCGTTGCTGACAGCTTTAATGGTCGTTATTGGCAGTACTAACCGATAGTCTAAAGTGACAGTACTAACAGACAGCCGTTGCTGACAGCTTTAATGGTCTTTAGTGGCAGTACTAACCGATAGTCTTAAGTGACAGTACTAACAGACAGCCGTTGCTGACAGCTTTAATGGTCGTTAGTTGCAGTACTAACCGATAGTCTAAAGTGACAGTACTAACAGACAGCCGTTGCTGACAGCTTTAATGGTCGTTAGTGGCAGTACTAACCGATAGTCTAAAGTGACAGTACTAACAGACAGACGTGCTGACAGCATTGATAGTCATAACTGGCACCACAAGCTGTGGTTACTGACATCAGTAACAGACAGTCGTAACGGGCTGTACCAACTGTCGAACTGACAGTTTAAGGAGGCAGTTGGTGTGTGTGTGTGTGCACAAAGGTCTTATCTCCACTAGAATCATTTTAAAAATCGTGTAGGAATAAAACGTTTCGTTGTTTTTCCTTTAAAGTCTTTAAAGTATCATTTTAAACATACTCCTTTGGTGTGGGGGTTTGAAGAGACTGTTACCCTTATACCCAAAAGGCACCATTTCAAACTTAGACCGTTGGCGCTTAAATGACCAAAATTGTGTCGATAGTGCCGTAAAACATCTATCCAATCAATCAATCAAACTTAGACCAGAAAACATTTATGGTTTTTAACTTATCAGAGGTGGGTGTTCTAGAGCTCTCGTTGGTTTCCACCTAGGCTATCTGAGTTACTCAGATAGCCTAGGTTCCGCCCTCTTGGTACAGACCTATCGGAGGTGGACTTAAAAATTGGAGGCCCCAACACCATTGACCTTACAAGATTGAGTTGAAAGCAGTGCTTTTACCCAAGCGGGTGGTTGGAGGGCGACGCTGGTAGGTTCTACTTCTTCACATTCTCTCTCTTATTTCTGTCTCCCTGTCTGTCTTGCTTTTCCCCCAGCACTGAATAACATTATTATGTCGATGTGCTTCTCTTTACCCAAACAAACAAACAAGCATTTTCCCATACCATGTCTTATCGTACCGCGTATTATTATTATTTTTGTTTGGTCGACCTTTATCTAAAACGCAACCCACCCCCCCCCCCCCCCCATCCCCAAAATACTGTGACGTGAGTGGATACACACATAAAAGTCTTAACGTGAAGGGGAAGAAAAGTGTCAAATCTGGATTGAGAATTATTGGTATTACTGGTAATTTAGACTGCTTCATTTTTTTCTCTCTTTTTTACTTTGTACTTTCCAGGAAGGTCACGATGTGATTGGATCTCTCAGGAACCCCCCATATCGCTGGGACAGTCGTCTACCTCCATGCTCGTGGGTGTGGACGCCAGGATCAACTATCTCTGGATTTGGACGAAACATTCACGATCCACCAATCATTGACCTGTGCTGTGGGGGATTCCCCTTATTTTCCAAGATGGCGCCGGAGTATGCCGGGGTAGAAAACTCTTGCTGACTTGGTAGACAGGAGCATAAGGATGATCGTCCTTGCTATCTCTTTGCTCTTTGTCTTTGGGGTGGTGAGTGGACAGGATGACTATTCTGGTGAGTCCATTAAAATATACATGTATAATTTTATTACTATAAAAGGGAGAGGGGTCGAATGAGCGCATTTGTCATTTCTGTGCTGTTTACCCCCCCCCTCTCTCTCTCTGTCTTTCTCTCTCTCTCCCTCTCCCTCTCCCTCTCCTTCTCCCCATCTCAGGTCTGGTCGTAGGGTGCTGTTGGCAGTCCCTGCTTTTTTTCTTTCCCCCCTGTTGTTTCAGTCTATCTGTCTTTCTATTTCCCCTGGACACGATTACCTTTATTGTGTCAATATGGTTCTTTTTACTCAAACAAACAACTAAATTAACAAACCGTCTGTTGTCAGTTCACCATTGCTACCCCTCCTCCCCCCATACCCCCACTCTCCTAAAGTATGATCGTAGCAGCTGGTGGTTGCCTGATTGATAATAATTTGATATGTGGCAGAGAAAGGCCCAGCGTCCAAATACATCTTCCCTCAACGGTCCTGGCCGGCCATGTCACGTCACTTACAACTGTGCGCATGATGTATCGTCGCTGTTTATCGCATAAAAAATTGAAGTTCGTATTGCTTTTATACTTTTCGGAAGGAGCAACATCCCCCCCCCCTTTTATTTTTCCTAATTTAAAAAAAAAAGAAAGGAAAAAAAAGGAAAGAAAACAGATATTCTTAAGCTCAAAATATCGAGGAGAAGTCACGTAATAATATTGTACATGTATGTCGAAAACATTTACATCGATCAAAGTCAGTGAATTCCAGGGGCCAGCAGTCAGTACACAGCACGATGTCTCTCAATTGTGAGGCAGCGTGGTGAAATCAGGCTCTCGTCAAAATAATCAAAGTGAAGAGACTTGCTTTTTTCTGTTGGTTTGTGAATTTTTATCAAATTTTTGTTTTTTGGCTCAACACCTTTCATGCCCATTAAAGAACTCATTTCTGTGTGGATTTTTCTGAAAAACGTTGATTAAAGGCACAACAAAATGTAAATTTTCAGTTACCACAGACTCTTAAGCTAAGGAAATAACTAATCTTTGGCGGCCATTTTCTCACTAATTTTACCTCTGAAAACAGGTGACCCCCACCTCTTTCATTCACAAATATCTCGCCCAATATTCAAGATAAATGGATGTTTTTTCTTCCAAATAAAGACAACTGAACAAGCTTTACGATGATACCAATAAGTCTACAGGCCCAAAAATTGACGAGAGCCTGATTCCATCACGCTGCCTCACAATTTTAGGCCAAACTATCGATATATCCAGTAATAGTTCTGTTACCAGACTTCAGACTTACGGCATCGATGCAATGTCCATTCAGAGGTAGTGGCCATACATGTACATGAAGTTTTCCTCCAATTCTATCGATTGGGAGTCGCTTAGGAAGGCGCGATATCTCGGACATAAAGGTCATGTGAGAGTCATGCGGACTGGGTCAAGCATATAAGTAAGACTCATGGCATGGTCCGACCGGAGGAGGGGATGAGGGAGGGTGAAGAGGGAGGTGGGGGATTGAGGAGGGAGGTGGGGAGGTGAGGGCATGAGGGTGAGGAGGAGAAAGGTGGGGAGAAAAATGGGGAGGTGGGGAGGGCATGCTGCAGCCGGGGAGTACAGTAGGTACTACTTTTCTCCTTTCTCTCTATTATTTCTGTCTGTCTTCCATGTCCTACCCCCTCCCCCCCCCCCAACCCACCTTTCACTAAATAACGTCACCGGGACAATGTGCTTGTCTTTAGCCAAGACTCTTGCTGCAGGGAGGACTGGCCAGAAGTCATAACGTGTGACATTAATGTTTTATTATTATGTTCCTGGCATGCTCTCTCTGAGAGCTGTTTTTCTTGGCATCTGCACTCGTCCGACTATGCCCCTCCCTCTCCTCACCCCTTCTTTCTCTGTCACCGTCTCTCTCTTTCTCTCTCTCTCTCTCTCTCTCTCTCTCTCTCTCTCTCTCTCTGTGTGTGTGTCTCTCTCTCTCTCTGTCTCTGTCTCCACATTTCCCCATCGGCTGATGAATTTCTCAAACCCTTCACACACATTGGATTTGCCTCAATCAAGCATTCACAACAGGTGGGTGCGTTTGT